GCTAGAAATTTTAATTTTTATTCATAAAATCTACATAGTCCCGTAAGGTCATTTTCAAGGCAAAGACCCCATATGGTCTTTATGTTTAAATGTATCGAACTTTAATTAACTATGGGTGTTTTCAAGTATGGATAATAGGCAAAAATTTTAATTAAACCAAAAAACTAATCAAGTGAGTTATGTATCATTTCGATGGATATGGCTGAAAATACTGACCCGGGCGGGTCAGATATTTGAACCAGGTCATAACCAGGGTCAACGAAAAAATCATAAAGTATTCACAGTTAACCCTTAAAAAGTTAATGTAAGACTTTTAATTAGAGCTATTAGTGTAAAGAGCAGCCTGTACTCCAAATATTTGACCAGAACTTTTCTGATTTTGTATTGAAAAATTTCTCGTTCATTTTCACTAGATTACTGTATTTTAACTATGTTGCTCATGAATTTGGCCCATATTTATACTGTATAAGTAAATTGCATAATATAGCGTTTTTGCTTATTTCGAATAGACTATAAGTCGATTTGACGTTAGTCGGTAAAAATCGACTTAGCCGACTAAGTCGACCGATTGTTTAAAAGATCGACTTAGTCAGTCGAGGGATTATGAATAAGAAATTTCGGGAAAATAGAGTATAAATACTAAAGAATTCGGGATATATACAGTATATATTTACAGCTGTTTTCATAAATTCTGGGACAACTGAAAAATTTCTGATGGCCGAATTCTGAGTTCGGTTACCTATTGATTCTAACTCGGTAACTTATCGAATTTGGTCAGTTGACCCAGAATTTATGAGTATGTTGACTTAAAAATTTTGAAAAAAATTCACCAATTTTAGATTTAGGGTTAGGGTTAGGATTAGGGTTTTGGATTTAGGTTTAGTACCACAAAATAGACCGCAGGAAAAAAAAAAAAAAGGTGACCCTTGTTTCAAGACCGGCGGGTCGCTTACGGGCACTGGCTTTGTTAAAAGGGACGAGCAGGGCCCCTGGATATACTGATATAGAATCGAGAGTTATAGATGCTAAACTTTAATGAAAAAAAATCCAGAATAGCATTGAAATCTAGATTTATAGTGCCTTGAAAAATTTTTTTTTTATGTAAAGTTCAGTGTACTGAAATCATATGTTAATAAAAATGTTTAATGTACAATTTTACATAAAACTAACGTATGGTGTACGAGTTTATAAATTTAGTCTGTACGGAAATGGTCCTTGGTCGCGGAGGTTTAATTAATAGTACCATGCAGTATTCAGGGGCCCTGGACGAGCTTATATAGACTGGACGCGGGAGTTAAGCTCGTTGTCGTTCCACTACACGAACGATTGGACGCAGCTTGACATAAAGCCGAAACCCACCGGCACAACAGGGGTTATCTTTTTATAATCCACTCAAAATAAATATTTACTACTCAACTTCATTTTATTCGTACCAATTTATTCTGTAAGAACAATTATTAACTCATATATAGTAAGTTATATATTCAATTTATGAATATTTACTACTAGGGCTCTGCAAACCGGGTACTTGCCTGTGCCCAAAAAAAATATGGGCACGGGTACGGCATGAAACTTTGAAAAAACTTAGGCATGGGCATAGGCACAGATATTAAAATTTTGGCATAGGCCTGGGCATAGGCACAAAAGTTTGGCATGGGCATAGGCACAGGCACAGAAATTTTAATATTTATTATTTAATTGTGTCTGGCACTTGTGCTCGGCATTGTGCCCGGCACTGTTTTGGCACCTTGTGCCTAGCATTTTGTGCCCATGCCTTTGTCAGTGCCTGGCACTTTGTGTCTATACCTTTAATGTGCCTGGTATTTTATGCCCTTTTATGCTGGCATGGCATAAGGTACCTGTGCCCGGCCTGGTGCCAATGTGCCAGGCACGGGCATTTGCAGAGCCCTATTTACTACGTATTCAACTTTATTTGCATTTATATAGATTTCATTTTATGAATATTTATTTACTGTTTATAGTTATTGGATAGGTGATTTACAATATTTTTTAATTGTCAGTAATATAAATGTGAACAATGTGATATTTTGCTACCAATGATTCACAAAATCACTTATTCCTCCTCTTGCTTTGCATTATCTATTTATTCCATTTGGCATTTAATTTTTTTGTACATCCCTCTTAACATTTTGGAGTACATTGCAATAGCTTACACCAAAATTTTCACTGAGTTCTTTTAGGGACTTATTCGATAATGGTTGTGAAAATTTCTACAGCAGATGTTTTAGTAGATTCGCTACATATATTTCACCTACTCCACCAGAATATACAATAAGTCATTAATTAATGTCGCGGCTGATACTGAAATTTTGACTTATCCTATTATGAAATTTTGAAAATTTTTTAAGCCTTTTGTTAGAAGTTTTTTTTTATGGTTAAGTTAAAGTTTAGGGTTAATGTTGTTAGTAAAAAAGTATATGTGAATTTTAGTGCGACAATAAATAATAAATGCATTGTGATTATTCTTTTCGACCTCAATCCCATTTCGATAATGATACGTATCATATATTTAATATTCCACTAATATCACCCATATCAGCAGCTTTTTGAAAATATTGAAAGCCTTACGCTCATCCAATTCCACAAATGTAACAGTTGCCAACATTACATGTTTCATCAACATTATAGATTTTCGATAATATTCAAAGGCTTTAAGTTCTTTTTTGAACGGATTGAATATTAGACCATTTTAAATGTTTGATAAGCAACTTGAACAGACTACACAATAATACGGCTTTATGCAAATCTACGGATTGCAGATTAACGGATCGCATTTCTGCATTTTTACCTTTGAATCATCGATGTCAAAATTTTTTTCTCTTATTTATTATATTATCGTATTTTTAAATTTCACAAAGTTTACAATCTTGCCCAAGTTAGCTAGATATATCAAAAAGATCATTATATTCATATTCTTAAACCTTAATATTATATAACGAGATAGTATAAAAGTATTAAAATTACATATGTCTCAAATGTCCCAATGACATATTTTAATAGTCTTAAGAGGCTCCTTAATTAAATTCACTCCTTAAAAACCAGATGAATTTAGGTGTACAATTAAAATTTCCAATTCGAGTTTCAAGGAATTATGTGAACATTGTCTTTTTGCACCTGGAGTTTTTGAAAGAAATATTGGGTTCAACTTTCCACACTTCATTCCGAGTGAGGTCTTTTCCAATATTCTACATAATTTTGTCGTTACAAAAATAATTAGTTAATATACCTAATATCAATAAAATTGGATGCACATTCATGTTTGATTCTTACTTTGTCTGATTATTTTCAATCGCTTTTAAGATTTCCATGTCTTCTAAAAAGCATTGTAAAACAAATGTAAATCTGTAAATCTGGCGGTTTGCATGTGGCCTCTGTGGATCATGATGTTGCGTGAATCAAAGCAGATTTTTTGAAAACTATAATCTACAAATTTAGAATCTCAGGCCCATCAACATAAAAATTATGGTCACATAGAAATCCTGCTTTTTTATTGGACGAAACATATTTAATTAACTTCGATTATATATTATACTAAAAATTTTGCAAGGAATTTTTTTGTTAGTAAATCAAATTTAAAGATTTTTGAAAAACTTGGATTCTTTTATACTGTTATACGTAATTTTATGTTACATGAATCTTTCATAATATAATATTACACTAAAAAATTCTAAAATTATTATCGGGATGGCGGGTAGCGGGTATTAGATTATGTATTATATTGATATCGATGTAGTATGTTTTATTAAAATACGTATAATAAATACAAAAATTAAATATAATACATAATCATGTTCCAAATAATGATTTTTCTTTTTCTAGACTGTTATATTTGACATCGATATCAATATAATACATATAATCTAGAACTCGTGATCGCCATCCCGACAATAATTCGGGATAAATTTTTAGGTGGTCCACGATTAGCTGTAAGTAGAGCTTCGATCCTATTTCAGGACTATCCAGATTGAATTCGGATTCTCTTTCATGAATCCGGTTATAATTCGAATTAAATAAATTCGAATTCGAATTAAATAAATCCGAATTCGAATTCAATCATTGATCGGCCAATCAAAATCGCGAATTTTGAAGCTGGTAGAAAAAAAAAAATTTTCTAATATACATGTTTATTTTTAATTTATTATTATTACTAGATGTCAGACCCGTCATTAAACGACGGGTTTGATTTTAACATCTCTATTACCATACCCTGCAGGATAAAGGTGAATAATCAGCATTTCCAAAACTTCATCGATGTAACATGAGAATAATAATTACAGTAAATAAAGCAAAATAATCATTCTAACAGCTCTTTACAGTTAGTGTTAGGATGAGAAAGTTTGTATTCTAAAAATCCAACATCTCTTTATGATTAGTAGAGTTCCAATTCGGATAAATCCATCATCCGTATCTGAATTATCCGGGTAATTCAGATCGCTCAGCCAAATAATCCAGATATCAACAGTAAATGAATATCCGAATAAATTCAGATCCGGATATCTTTATTATAAATCATTCTAACAGCTCTTTATGATTAGTTTTAGGATGGTTAATGTTAGGATGAGAAAGTTATCATTCTAGCAGCTCTTATGGTTAGTGTAGGATGAGAAAGTTCGTATTATAAAATCATTCCAACAGCTCTTTATGGTTAGTGTTAGGATGAGAAAATTCATATTATAAAAGCTCTATAAAGTTAGAATTTAGTATTTTTGATTATGGATGTTTGTACTTTATACTAAGGATCTTTTTCTTTTTTTTTTTACCGATATGCACATCACTAATACATATATTAGTATTTTTAATAATATTTCCAATTCACATGTGAAATATTAATTATTCATTATGGAACTTAAAATAATCCTTATATTAATCTTTAACCTCAACAATGAAAATAGAACATGCGCTGATGCAGTATAATATAATATTTATTAATTAAAAAAATTTTACCTGTTTTATTGATTTTTCTTTTGGCGATAGACCTTCGGTGTGAGAACTAAACGAATCTCTATAATTGTTAAATTGAATAGCATATGTAATATACTGTTTATCATTTTGTATGCATTTCAATCGGATGCGTAAATTCGAACATGATGCAGAACAAATACTGTATAGAACTGTGCCACAGACAGACGCGATGAAGACCAAAAATTTTTAATATATAGATTTTTTATTTTTATTTTTATCTTATTTTTTTATAAAAGAAAAAAACATTCAAGAAAAAATAAAAATAAATTTAAATTACTGGTATGGTGGCCGTCTCAGGTATATCATACGTTAATCTAGTAAGGATCATGATCCGAATAATAAATTTTGGAATATGAAAAAAATAAAGAAAATTTTTCATGATCCTATGTTTTCCGGATAATATAAAAATAACATGAACATTTTTTTATGGCCTGTCTATTGCGATTGTATATAGTATAATTTTCTCATGGTTGAGATTTCATGTGCAAATATACCAAATATTAGACGGTCCCTGACCATACATAATATTT